ATTGGGACACAGTTGTGCCCCTTCATTTATGTATTTTCTCTGGCTGCTTTCATCCCAGAATGCCAGCATTGAACAGTTGTGACCAAAAACAGAAATAATTATTAGCTGGTCCTTTACAGAAAATATTGGCTGGCCTCTTTTTTTTTTTTTTTTTTTTCACTACTGGGGATAAAACCCAGGGTGTCTACAACCACCTCCATAGCCCTTTTTGGTTTTTATTTTGATACCATGTCTTGCTAAGTTGCCCAGTTTGGTCACTTGTAATCTTCCTACTCAACCTCCCAAGTAGCTGGGATTACAGGCATGTGCCATTGTACTTGGCTTGGTGGCCTTCACTTTATAGAACAGATATTTAAATTTTTAATTAAAATTATACACTTGTATAAACACAAACAATACCAGAAGTTTTGTTTTGGAGAGAAGAGGCCCCTGCCAGGCACACTGTTCCCTTATCTCTGAGACAGATGCACTTAAGTAACTTTTCTAGCATTTATATTTTGACATTGCATATAATATTCCCTTATTTCCTTTCTCATCATGTGTAATGATCAAATCAGTAATTGGCATGACTATTTCCTCAGATACCAACTATTATTTTAAAAATTTTAGGGACTGAGGGGTAACTCAGTAGTAAAGCACTTGCCTAGCATGTGTAAAGCCCTGGGTTTGATCCCCAGCACCACAAAATAAATGTGTAATAAATAAAATGATAAAATTAGTTAAAAAATAAAATTTTAAGCCGGGCATGGTGGCAGACGCCTATAATCCCAGCACTCGGGAGGCTGAGGCAGGAGGATCGCTGTAAGTTTGAGACCAGCTGGGGCTACATAGTGAGTTCCAGGTAGTCTCAACTGACCCTGTCTCAAAAAACAAAAAACAAACAAAACAAAATTTTAGCCACTAATTATTACCTAACTTAGTTGAGGCCACTATCCTAGTTTTTTAGTGCTAGATTATAAGTAAATTTATCATTAAAGGAAATAAGTTTTATGATCATTGAAATAGTTTTATGTGTCTCATTATAATAAAATTATAATAGCTTTTATTTACCACATACTATATGTCAGGTGCTAACTACCCTAATGCTTTTTCATGCAGTATCACATTGGATCTTCACAGTAGCTCTAGAAAATGTAGGCACTACTATATCTCCATCTACCAGGAGGAAGTGTCATTAGATAGGTTCTCCCCTTGGACAAGCACCCCTGGGTGAGGGAGCCAGAATTCCACCCTGGAACTTGAACTCTTTAACATTATGTTGTAATGCCACATGGAATACTGCAGATTGCGGTTCTGTTAGCAAATTATCTGAAGATTTAGAACATGTAAACTTGCTAAGGCTCAACTGTGAAACCGTTTCACTGAGGTAGGTGTAGGGCAGTCAGGTGGGAGTCCAGCAGTTGTGGGTGAGTTTTCTGAGGAGAATCCTGTTTCCTTGGACTTTATGTACCTGCATAGTCTCAGTCTAGTGCTTCAGGTCTCAAATTTGCGCACATAGCAGAATCACCTGTTCACGAAGTACAGGTTACTGGACCCCACTCGCAGAGTTTGTGATTCAGCAGGTGTGGAGTGGGCCTGGGAATTTGCATTTCTAGTAGATTTTCAGGTGATGCTGCTGCTTGCCCAGGGTCCAAACAGATGTAGTGCCATTCTGTCTTTGCTGAATGTTAAAGGTCATCTGTATTGTCTTCCTGTGTTCTTTAGTTGTTTCCTATTAGTCTCCTCCCTCCAGCTACCTAGAAAATGGTTCAGTTATTGTAGTTTATATTTCAGTTTTGACCCCACACAGACCACAGTCATGTTTCTGATATAGTAGGTAGTTTTTATAACCTTAAAACAGACTCATGTCTTTCCTACCTTTAGATTTATTGAAGTATGATTGATAAAAATTATATATATTTAAGGTGTACAGTGTGATGATTTGATGTGTGCTTTTTATGAGGTGGTTACCACAATCAAGCTGCTTAACACATCGCCTAACATAGTTGTTACAGAAGGAATCAGTAAGTGACACCCAGAGAGGCAGCAGAATGGAAGTAAAAAAAAATTTATTCATCGATAAGGGTCGATCCCACATAAACCATGCCTGCATTGACGATGCACTGGGTTATAGCTTCTCCTTTTATGGGGCTTCACAGCCTTGACTTCATTTGGGTGGTTACATTTCATTCTCACAGTTCAAACCACAGTCACAGGATAGTTAATCTTTTCAACCCAGACGTAACAATTCTTTGCAGTTGGGGAGTTTACCTTTAAGATTCGCCTAGTTTTCTATTCTAGCCCATAAGGAGAGGGTGTTCAGGGTCAGGGGAGAGAATGTTGGTAATGGTCCTTTTTATCTTGACACTCTTATGACCGTGTGGCTCCAGTCTCTTCGGAGCTCAAGACCTTGATGTGCCTGCTCTGTTATCTCAGGGTAAGACCAAATGCGTCATTCAGCAATTAGTGCCTTTGGTGCCTATTAGTTCTGAGCTAAACAAAGCAAACTGCTGTTAGAGACAGCAGAAGCGACTTTACACTGTAACACTATATAGGTTTTTGCTATTTATAAAAGTTTTCCCTATCACTGTTACTCTATTAGGTAGTAGTAATCTGTTTACTTTTCTTTAGAGAGCATTTATATAATTTTATTTTTTTTAATTATGTCCCAATTCACAACTGTGGCATGGCACAGAGGATGAAAGATTACTCAGAATCGCTGTCCAGTTCAAACTCCAGGAAGACCCAGAGGAACTGCCCTTAGTCAAGACCCCTCAGCGTGAGAGTCTTACAAGGACCGCCCTGAACTGAAGCTTCTGTAGCTGTTTATTGATAGAACCAGGAAGCAAGGATGAAGGAGAAAGGAAGGGTGTTGGTTCAGGAATTCATGTAGGGGAAAAGGGAAGGACAGGAGGACAGGGTAAGGTCAGGGTGGTCTGTTACACAAATGACCTTAGGGCTAGCCTAATAAATCAGTATGGGGAGGTCGGCCCAGAACATTCATTTCTTAAGGCAATGTGTTTTCATTCTACTATGACTTGTGGGCCTGTAGGCTATCTTTTAATCTCTAACCATGCATTCCATGAGGTTTTGGGTGTGTGGCTCCAAAAGTACCTTACTTTTCTGCATATTCATCTCATACATACCTTTGGCCAATGCCCCCACACAATTTTAAATATAATATGTTTTCATTGTAAAAATCACTTTTAGTAAGCACCATCACAGTAGCACACATGACCAGAAAGCGCAGCAAACCCTGTAGGATTTTCAGTGGCTTGAAGGACCATAGCAAACCACTGAACTTAAAGTACAGAAGTATTTTATGTGCTATTGCCCAGGGGTGCTTATCTGATTTTCAGTAGAGGGACTTGTGTTTTACCTTTAGCATTCCTTGAGATCTTTTTAATCTTTCAGTTATTTAGTGGCCAACCAGAACCAACATGTCTGGCACTGAGGAAGCAGTGCTAAGAAGAGGTGACCTTCCTCCTCCTGCTGGAGGCAACTCTGTGCTATGCTTCGGACAGGTAACTGTGGGTTCCTCCTCTCGGGAAAGAGTGAAGTTAAGTAGGGCAGTTATGATCTGTAGACCATCACCATACACGTGGAAGCTATTTATTGTATTTTTCCTTTAGATGCATTATTTGGGTGGCCTTTGGGAAACTCTGAGTACATTTTGAAACTTCTGGGGGATTACCTTTAGATGTAAATTTATTCATATGACAAAATTTTATCATTTATATGATATAAAAGTCAAAACAAAATAGACTGAAAAGTCTTCTAGTTAGTTTCCCTATCACTGCAGTCAACATGACACCCAGTTCTGTCTCTGGGGGACACCAAAGTCACTGGGGTCACATTCTTTGAGGAACAGTTCTGTGTATTGAAAAGAGATTTTTGCCCCAACCAGACTCTTTGTCCTTACTGGAGATTTGTTAGTATTGTGTTTATCTTATCTAAATAAGGCAAGGGGACAAAACTAGAAACCATGAATAGTAGTGGATTTTGTATGTGTAGGATGAGGAGTTGCTGATTTGGAGAAGAAGTTATAGAACTTTGGACAGGACAAATGGAAACAAGATACCTATCTTGTTCATGCTTTTTCTACTCCCTTAAACCTGTGTAACTGTTATATATAGACTGAGGTGGGAGCTTTAATTTTCTGGTTTAGTTTTTGAGGGCTGGGGCATGCACTTGCCTAGCACTGGAGAAACAACAAAACAAAACCTCCACCAAAACTAAGCAACCAACTCCAAAATGAACCAACTTCAAAACTTAGTTTGAAAGATGGTGGCACCTGCTAAAAAGTTTAATAAGGTGGCTCTCAAAATGTGGTTCTGGGACCCCTGGAGGATCACAAGACCTTTTCAGTAGCCATGAGGGTAAAATTAGTTCCCTAATATCACTAAGATACTGTTTGCTCTTTTCACACTTGACTTGTGCATGGTGTGGTTGTGCCTGGCTGAGTACCCACGATGGTGTCATTCTGATGACCGAGGGAAAGTGTGCTTTAACTCTCTCTGTGCTCATGTGGGTAGATCTAACCCAGTTAAACAAACTCTTGGATCCTCACTACTTTTTGTTTTGTTTTATTTTGAGGCAGAGTCTCACTATGTAGTTGAGACTGACCTGGAACTCACTATGTAGTCCAGGCTGGCCTTGAACTCAGTGGTGATCCTCCTGCCTCAGCCTCCCAAGTGCTGGGATTATAAGCATGCACCACCACATCCAGCTTTCTCACTACTTTTTAAAAACATTTTTAACTAGTACATAAAAATCCTAGTAAGGTGATACTATGTGGAGTTTTTTTTTAGGGTGTTGGGGATGGAACACCCTGCACATGGTAGGCAGGTTTACCACTGAGCATCATCCCAGCCCCCATGCAATATTTTGATATCTATGGACACTGTACTTAATACTTTTTAAGAGTAGGAAGGGGTGCTGATGGAAGCAATGGTGGAAGTGCCAGCTTGATTTTCCTTCTTGGATTATAGTGCCAGTACACAGCAGAAGAGTACCAGGCCATCCAGAGCGCCTTGCGCCAGCGGCTGGGCCCAGAGTACATCAGTAGCCGCATGGCTGGTGGAGGCCAGAAGGTAGGCAAGTCTTCCAGTTTGGCAAGTGGGTGCCTGGGCAGCAGAATACTAGATGCTCTCACCACCCAGCCTGTGGGACCTCGATTCAGAAGTCTTTTGTTCACGGTTACTGGGTGTTTCCTAGTGCCCATGGGAGGGGTGGGCTCTCCTTGTCAGCTGAAGTCATCCATGCCTTGTCTGGAGGCTGTGTAACTACCATGAGAGGGTTCTTCCACTGTCTTTTGAAAATGTACCCCTTGCCATTTGCTTCTAATTTTAACAACTACGTCCTCCTTTTTCTCTTCTTCTTTCTCCTTTTTCTTCTTCTTTTGTGGCGCTGAAGCTGGACCCCATGGCCTCCTCATACTAATAAGTAGGCACTCTACCTCTGAGCTACAGCCCTAGACCCTGACTTAAATTTCTGTATGTTTTTGATTTTTCATAAAATATGTTAACAAGAGATTTGTACTTTTTTAGAAATTCTTGGTTCTGAAACTGTTAGGTAAGCCAATATCTCTCTTCTCTGGGGCTACTTCCTCCCCTCAGATAGGCCATTATGCTAGCTAGTTGTGTCTAGAAGGTCTTTGAAATACATTCATTGAGTATTTCCCTATAATTAAACAGTATTATCAAAACACATAAAGAATAAATGAAGTAAATTTTATTCATAGTTAAATATGCCAAGGAATTTTAACATAGCTGTATTTAAAATTTTTTTCTAGGTGTGTTACATTGAGGGTCACAAGGTCATTAATCTGGCCAATGAGATGTTTGGGTACAACGGCTGGGCTCACTCTGTCACGCAGCAGAATGTGGGTATGTGGCTGCGTCGGGGCTGCTCCACTCCCGGCTTCAGCATGTAGCTCTGCTCACAGACTGGGTGGACGGGGATGGAACTAGGAGGATTGGTTGCCTTCAGGAGACACGGGGATCATTGTCTTCAACTAGTTCTCTTTACACTTCTAGACTTTATTGACCTCAACAATGGCAAGTTCTACGTGGGAGTCTGTGCGTTTGTGAGGGTGCAGTTGAAGGTGAGGGTGACGCAGCAGAGCTGTTGCCTCGGTGGCTTGGTGGTGACAGAGACAGCAGGCAGAGGCATCTCTGGCTGGAGAGCAGAGTCCCAGCCATTGTCTCAGCCAGTATTCCTAGGATGATGGGATTCACTGCTCCCTCAAAATGATCTTGAAAAATTCTGTCCTCTTGCTTTTTTTTTTTTTTAATACCAGCGATCGAACTTGGGTCCTTGCACTTGTGAGGCAGGTGGTGGAACCACTGAGCTAAATCCCTGGCCACTCTAGCATGTTTTTAAATTGATACTTAATCACATATGTAAATATTGCAAAGGGCATATTCTTTAATACAATGTAAAATTTGACATTCTGAAATAAAACTGTTACTTAAAAAAACAAGAGCATTCACTAAGTTGTTCAGACTGGCCTCAAACTCAGACCTCCAGGATTACAGGTGTGTGCCGTGTACTCAGTTTGCATCTTTTTTTAATGTTTTGAGACAAGGTCTTGTTATATAGTCTAGACTGGCCTGGAATGCATTTGTAACACAGGCTGGTTTCCAACTTGCTATCCTCCTAACCCAGCCTTGGAAATTTGAGGTGAGCCTGGGCAACTTAGCAAAATAAAATTCTTGGGGCTGGGCTAGATGTGGGGCACACACCAAGGCACGAGGATGGAGAGTTTGAGGGTACACAAAGGCATGTGTGAGTTTGAGGCCAACCTGAGACCCTTCTCAAAAAGACCCCTGTAAGAAGTCAGGGAGGGGGATTGGGATGCAGATTAATACTTTCTAGGTTCAATCCCCACTACCATGAAAACAAAACAAAACAACTTTTTTGGAGGAAAAATTTCCAGTGACTGTTTTTCCTCCACTTTGGGATGAAACCCAGGGCTTCCTACAAGTTGGGCAAGTGCTTCACCACTGAGCTACATCCCCAGCCCTTCTAGTGACTTCATTTTTTTTTTTTTGGTTTTTTGAGACAGTCTCACTATGTAGTTGAGACTGACCTGGAACTCACTATGTAGCCCAGTCTGGTCTCAAACTCACAGTGATCCTCCTGCCTCAGCCTCCCGAGTGCTGGGATTACAGGCATGCGCCACCACGCCCAGCTCCAGTGACTTTAATTAAGACTTTAAACATTAAAGATATCTTCTGGGTTGTGTGATGATAGTTATTGTTAACACAATTACCAGATAATTGTGTTTATGTTGAGGAGACAATGTAAATACCATAAAATTTTAATACAAATATAATATATGGAAAATGCACATTTTATTTATTTATTTTATTCATTAAGTTTGTTGCTGCATTTTAAGTATTCATTCTGACTGTATTCATTATTGGGATTTTGTACCAGTACATGGTATTTCTTGGTTCTTGTTTTTTCCCATTCAATTTCCTTCCTTTCCATCCCTCTACCCCTTCCTATTTATAAAAGCTTTGTTTCTGTTTTTCCTTCTTTTCTCATTTTTTTCTTTCCCGTCTCCCCTCCCGCTCCAGTTCTTCCCCTTTGAACCTTTTCTTCCTTTTTCACATTGTGTATTATACATTTTGGTCCTTGTTTGCACATTTTAATGAGATGGATATTGCTTTTTTTCAGTTAGTAATTATATATTCATAGTTGAATATTCCTGTTTTTTTTTTTTTTTTTTTCCCCAGGGGTTGAACTCAAGACTGTGCGCTTGCCAGGCAGGTGCAGCACCACTGATCTACAACCCTGGTCCAGTTGACTGTTTCTTAAGTGAGCATTCATTAATTCTGTTTGAGGGCTGGGGATTTAGCTCAGTGGTGCCATAACCTGCCTTGCAACTGCAAGGTCCCTAGTTCAATCCCTGGTACCAAAACAAAACAAAACAAAAAAACCCTAAAAAACAACTCTATACCTTAATTCTATTTGATATCTTAATTTTATAAATCATACTGGAAAAACTTGTTCACATAAGTAGTTATGAATGGACTTTGGTACAATATGACTCATTTCTTTGAATGTCTTCTGTTCTCAGAAATCAAGTAGTACTTACTACCTTTAAACATTATATCTAATTCTGTCATAGCTAACAGTTGAAGCCAAGAAGTGGATACTACCTAATTAAAAATGAAAGGATTTGCTATCCAATGAGAGGCCATGAGATAGATTTCAAATTGCCCCTTTCTTTGGTTTTCTAGAGGTTTTCATCCTGTTGGGTAACACTGTAGAAAGACTTGGGGAGGGTTAGAAATTTGCTCTTCCTGTGCTGTGGGGCTGTGGTCTGACATTTCAGCACAGATCAGGTCTGGATATTGCTGTCTCACAGGCATCCACCATGTCCCCTTCAGCAAGGCCCCTGCATTCTGTGGGCCCACAGGGAGCAGTGCTGCTCAGGGAAAGAGCAGGGCAGCCAGGACAGGACTGTGGCTTTTCATGTTAGTTCCAACTCCTTTTCCACCCCCAGGATGGCTCCTATCATGAAGATGTAGGCTATGGCGTTAGCGAGGGCCTCAAGTCGAAGGCCCTGTCCCTGGAAAAGGCCAGGAAGGAGGCGGTGACAGATGGCCTGAAGCGGGCTCTCAGGTAAGCCAGGGGCTGGAGCCACACCTGCCTCCGACCAGCTCTCAGTTCATACCAGTGTTTGGAAGAGGTAATCATGTGGGTCAGAGATCTAAATAACAGGGAAAGATAAATCTCACTCTACCCTTGACCTCGTCTATCCTGTTTCCTCCTTTGTTTCATATTTCCCCAGCATTTATGCTGAGGACTTTCATTTTCAGCAGTAAATGGTAGAACACTGTATAGTTAAGTCCCTGACTTACAAACATCTGAGTTACGAACTTTCACATGTGTATGGTATAAGGTTCACTTTGTGGATATGAACAAGTCTGAAAGAGCAATTCTCCTGGAACAGAACTCATTCCTCAGTCAAGGACTTACTGTATTCTGTATGCTGTGCCACTTGCCCTACCCCTCAGGGATGTGTCCTGGAGACATTCCCACAGAAGTACAGTGGTGGTCAGCATTCTCTGACTGTAACAGATATCTGACATGAAGCAGCCCATAGAGAGAAAGTTTATCTTAGCTGACAATTTGGAGGTTTCAATCCAGGGGGCTGTGATGAGCCCACAATGGCAGCATACATTTGGTGCAGTGACCTGCTCATCTTGTGGTGCAATAAGAGTGAGAGAGAAGGGTCCAGTGTCTCCTCTCCTCTTTAGGGCATGCACCAGTGACCTCAGACCGCTCATGGGGTCCAGACACTGCCCCTCAGAATCAAGCCTTTCCATATGGATTTGGGTGGTCAATGGTCTCCTCGAGGGCTTTGTGGTTTATACTTAGTGTTGCATTCTCAGGATGCAGCCCAGGGCAGGAACATAGCAAATCCTTCGTAATCAGAGAAAGTATATTGGTGTCCATTTCCTCTACTGCCACTGAGAAACTTATACAAAGCTGAAATTCTGTTCTCTGATATTCAGGCCTGATGATTCTTAACCCTGCTTCACTTTTTCCCCCTTATCTTTAGAAGTTTTGGGAATGCACTAGGAAACTGTATTCTGGACAAAGACTATCTGAGATCATTGAATAAGCTTCCACGCCAGGTATGTTAGAAATGGGTGAGTGGAAAGGCGTACAGGGAGGTAATATGGCAAACTCTCATTTCATGTGTTGTGCATTTTGGGGATGGAGGGATGTGAAAATGCAGCTATTTACAGGGTCTGGGTTTCACACTGTGAATGTAAGTGCTAGTAGACATCATCATTCTGTTAGGACAACGCAGCCTAGAGAACTCACCTTCACAATCTTACATGTGAGAGCTGGGGTTGGAAATGGTCTACAAATCTGAATGTAGGCCTCTGCAGCCCCACTGTCAACTCCCAGGTCCACTCGGAATCTTCTGAGGAAGCCTAAGCCTTCTTTTTTCTCAGCTCTGCTGTCTTCATAGTGCAGCGCTCCCTTTCAGTGCTGGTGCGATCTAAGCTTTGCCTCAGGAGCATCCCTAGTCACACATGTCCCATTTAGCTGGAGTCTGGCCTGTTCCTTTTGCCCGTGGAGCGCTACTGCTTCCTCTCCGGCTCCTCTGAGGCCCCTGCCATGCTGCCACCCAGGGCAACATCGTCATCTTTTTCTTACAGAGCCCCTAAGGAGTGTGCACCTGTATGGTTGAGTAGTGTGAAGTATTTCATTGTTGTGAAACTAATCACCAGAACTTTTTTTGTTGTTTTTTTCTGTTACCGGGAATCAAGCTCGGGACCTTGAAGTTTGCTAGGCAGGCAGTGGAACCACTGAGCTAAATCCCTGGCCCTCTCCAGAACTAACTTCCCCCGTTCCTCCTTCCCCACAGCTGTTAGCTGCTACAATTTACTTTCTGTCTCTGAGTTTGACTACTGAGTGCCTCATCAGTGGTACAGTTTTTGCCTTTTTGCACCAGGCTTGTTTCACTTAACATTAATGCTTCGGGATTCATCCATGTGGTAGTGTAAGTCAGAATTTCCTTCCTTTTAAGAGCTGAATATTGTTTTTTATGTATACTTTGTTTTTTAAATCCACCTATCTCTTGGTGGATGTTTGGGTTTGCTTTACCTCCTGGCTATGTGAAAAAATGCCATTGTGCACACAGACATGTAAATCTCTCACGAGGCATGACTTTTAGTTCTTCTGGGTATAATGTAGAAGTGGGACTGCTGGATCATATTGTATTTGTGGATGGTACTGGGAGTTGAACCCACCTCATGCAAGCTAGGTAAGCACTCTGCCACTGAGCTACATTCGTTTTTTTTTTGTTTTGTTCTGTTCTGTTTTGTTTTTTGAGACAGGGTCTTGCTAAGTGGCCAAGTTGGCCTGAACTTGTAATCTTCCTTCTCCAGACTCCTGAGTACCTTAGATAGCAGAGTATATGCCACTGGACCCTTTTTTTGGGGGGGGTATCTGGTATTGGAATCGGAACCTTGTGCTTCTGAGGAAGGTGGCAGCACCACTGAGCTAAATCCCTGGCCCTTAATTTTTTAAAATAACAGCCATCCTAATGGGTGTGAATTTATTTTGTTTTAGATTTGTATCTCCCTGATGATTAGTGATGTTGAACATGATTCCAGAAGCTTTTTGGCCATTTATATTTCATCTTTGGAGATTTTCAAGCCCTTTGCCATTAATAATAGGGCTGATGTTTATTGTTAGTTTCGAGTAGTTCTTTCAGTATCCTGGCTTTTAACTCCTTATCAGATAATTTGATATATAAATATTCTCTATTCTGTAGACTGTCTTGTTTTTAAGTTTGATGTAGTTCATTTATGTTTTTGCTTTTGTTGCTTATGTGTTTGTCACTGTATCTAAAAAAATGCTTTTGAATTCCAGTACTTGGGAGGCTGAGGCAGGAGGATTGCCATGAGTTTAAGACCTTATGAAAAGAGAGAGAGAGAAAGACAGAAACAGACTGAAAGAGACAGAGACAGGGGCAGAGATGGAAAGTAGGAAAGAAAAAGAGAGTTTTCCAAGTAAAAATGTGATGTCACTTGGAATAAGGCAGAGAAGAGAGAAAGTTGGAAGAAAAGAGCAGGTAGCCATCACCGTCACCTGGAAAGCCTGAGTGATAGCAGATGATGTATCTGTGCAGGACATGGACAGTGAGTGGAACAGCTTGGCTCAGATTTTCTCAGGGCAGACAGTCCATGCAGTGCTAGGAAGCGTGAAAAGAACATCAGAAGTTAAATATCCAAGGAGCTTAGTGTACATCAGGGGTGTTTTGAAATTAAACTTGCTTTCTTACTCCCATTAACAAAAAATATTACAAAATCCAGTGTTACAGAGCATTTTGGGTTTTTTTTCCCCCTACGAGTTTTAAACACTTTGGACTTTAATCCACTTTGAGTTGGTTTGTGTGTGTGGTGTAAGACACAAGTCAAATCTCATTCTTGTGCATGAGAACACCCAGTCTCCCAGCATTTTTTGTGGAAGAAACTCTTCTTTCCCTACTGAGTGGCTTTGCCATTCTTAGTGAAGAGCATTTGACCACGCACTCAGGGTCCCTTTCTGGGATCTCTAGTCTATTGCTCTCTACGTCCGTCTTTATGATCACTATAACTTTATATTATGTTTTGAACTTTAGACGTATGAGTCCTCCAACTTTGTTCTTCATTCTGTTGTTTTTGCTATTTGGGGTACCTGGGATTCCATATGAATTTTAAAGTCAGTTTATGTATTTCTGCAAAAATGCTGATGAGATTTTTGTAGGATTACATTGAATTTATAGATTATTTTTGGTAGTATGAACATTATAATGTTGTCTTCCAATTTATGAACCTGGAATATCTTTTCATTTATTTGTGTCTTTAATTTCTTTTAGTAGTAATTTTTAGTTTTTCATGTACAAATCTTTCACTTCCTTGGCTGGGTTTATTTATTTCTGTACTGGGGATTGGGCCCAGGGCCTTCATATTAAGCTGCATTCCCAACCCTTTAAATTTTTTTTTTAATTTTGAGACAGGGTCTCACTAAGTTGCTTGGGCTGGACTCAAACTTGCAGTCCTCCTGCCTCAGCCTCCCAGTTGTGTGTGTTGTAGTCACTGGCCATCCCTTCTTTTGTTTCACTACCAAGGAAAACCACTTTAACAGTACATCTGTTTAGACTATTGATGTTTTTTGGAATCACATAATCTAAACTTTTTGTATCATTCAGCATGTTTGAGATCCATTCATGATGCATGCAAGATGTTCACTATTACATAATTTGTATTACAAGTGTATATAACAATTTATTTTTCCCTTTCTCTTTACTTGGGTTTTTGGGTAGCTTTTGGCTATTTTTAATAGACCTGCTATTAGTGTGCTATTGGATCCCCCACACACTCATTTTTCTTAGGACTTACTGGGCCAGAAGTATATGCTTAGCTGTAGATTCTTCTAATTTTCTGGCACGACTGCATTAGTCCACACTCTCACATAGCACTGTGCAGGAGTCCCAGCTATGCCATGGCCTTCATAGCAACGATGGTGTCCTTTTCATTTTTTACAAAGCTCATTCCTATGCTCCAGCAGCACATATTCAAAGCTCATTTGTATCACTGTGTTTCAATGTAGACAAGCAATCCAACTAAAATTTCCATTTTCAGGTTGTTGTAAAAGTGTATTCATCTTAATTCCATATTCAGATTATTCATCAGCATTACTTTTTAGTGTTTTAACCTAGGAGCAATGACAATAGATTATCACCTACCTTTTTCCAGGAATTTAAGTCTGAAAGGCAGCAAACAGAAAGGAATGGGCAAAGGAATTTTTTCTTTCTTTCTTCCCTTATTAGCTGCCTCGTGAAGTGGATTTAACTAAAGCAAAGAGACAGGACTTTGAACCATCTGTGGAACAGGCAAGATACAACAGCTGTCAGCCAAACATGGCTCTGGGACCCCTGAAGCCACAGGAGGTGACCTCCCCTTGCAGAGGAAGCCACATGGGTGACCCTCACATTGAGCTACAAGGAGATAAGGCCAGCAGCTCCCGGTATGAGGCCCAGGGTCCTTCCCTTCCCTCCCTGCCTGTTCTTATGTGGCTTAGGTTGCTGCCCTGTCTGCTTTGAGAGCCAGCAAGTTGGTTTGTGTGCTTCCTCAGGACCCGTATCTATCGTCGTTAACCTGGTTAACTCAGGAACTCATCTTTTTGCTCTTGGGATGCAGAAGCCTGACCTTGTCCACTGTGGAGAGTGACGCCACTTACCAGCGGAAGCTCCGGCAAAAGCAGCTGCAGCAGCAGTTCCGGGAGCAGATGGAGAAGCAGCCAAAGGTTCAGACACTTGCTCCAGCTCCAGTAGAAAAGCAGAATGAAGGTGAGTCGATGGGAGCAGAAGCCCAGGAGGTGTGTGCTCTGCAGGGGGCACTGTGGGAACAGGGTGGCCCAGTTCTCTGCCAATGATAATGCACCTAGCTCCAGACCAGACCTCACTCTCCACGTACATGTGGAATGGATGAGTCCAGGAAGTTCATAGGTGAACTACCAAGCAATTTCCCATTTCCGAAGACCATGATCTTTTTTTTTTTTTTCTTTTTTAGGGAGGTAAATAGGCCTTGACACAATCTTCTGGTTGTCTCTACATTAGAAAGCCTTTGTTTTTGAGGTGGTTTTGAATATAAGGCCAAAGCTTGTTTTGAAGAAAACAGGATCTTTTGGCAGATTCTTTATCTATGAACTCTATAGATTTTCTCAGGATACAAATTCAGTGGTAGTAGTAGATTGGGAGTTGGGAGGAGAAATAGGTTGCCCAGAGAGGAAATAAAGGGCTTGTCCCAAACCAGTGAGCTTTTACCTGTTCATTCTGTACAAGTGATGAAGAGGGCTGAGAGGACATGCTTTGTGTTTGGGTTATTATTGTCCTTGCAGCACTGACAGGCCAAGATTGATGTGAAAAAAAGAAACAAGCTTATGTTCCTGGGCCTGTCCAAGTTCCGAGTTACTGTAGATATTCAGCTTCTGTCGGTTTCCGCAGCTCACAGGGAGAGGGACGGGGAGTCCAGGGGATCCCAGCCTTATCAGGTATCTGCAGCCACAGCCCAAGCTGCTGGGCTAGATGGCTTGGCTTCTAAGAAGCCTTCTTTCTGTACTTGTGGAAGAAATGAACCTTTGCTTTTACCACTTGGGTGAGAAGAAGGAACACAGACTCAGATGTGGAGGAACAATGGGTACAGTGGAATCAAGTTCCTTTACTGGCTGAGCCCGACACTCTAGGCATCAGGCTGCTATAACAAAAGGGGAGTAGACTCGGTCTCTGGTTCCACTTAACTTAGGTGACTGATGACTTGTCCTTTCTCTCTTGTGTAAACCATAGCCACCATTCCAATCCCTCCTTTGACACATAGTACTCCCATCAGTGCTGTCTCAGAACCACTCAGGGGGAAAATCATCCTTGAAAGTAAATGACTTTAAAAAAAAACCCAATAAACAGGAAATCCTTGTAAGTTATCATGTCCTTTACTTTTGGTACTCACAAAATACATCTTAAAAATCACAAAAATTTTCATTTTTGGCTGAGTGCTGTGGCATATGCTCTAATCCTAGCTACTCAGGAGGGCGATGCAGGAGGATCTCAAGTTTGCAGCCAGCCTGGGTATTTTAAAAAAACCCTGTGTCAAAAAGAGGGCCGGGGCTGTAGATAATATATTAAGAATGCTTCCCTAACATATTCAAGGCCCTGGGTTCGACCCCTAGTACTGGGGGAGAAAAATAATTTTAATATATTTTTTAGCCCCGTAAGTTTTAGAATGGAAAGAGATCCTAAAATTGATTTGTGGGGGCTGACCAATAGATGGCACATCTTCAGCTCCTCTGTTGTCTCAATGAAATGTTCAGCGTACTTTTAAAAGACAAAAGAGAGAAATTGCAAAATCTATCTTAAGACATGGAGTTTCTTAGGCTCACTTTACAAGTGCTTTCTGATAGACTGTTTTTTGGAACCAGGGATTGAACTTGGAACCTTAGGCTTGTGAGGCAGGCGGCAGCACCACTGAGCTAAATCCCCAGCCCTCCCAGTGCTTTCTGTGAGGAGACTGTTGGCTGATAACACACTTCACTGTGATCTCTGCAGAGAATCCTGAAGACAACCTTGAAATGTGGGATCTGACTCCAGACTTAGAGGATATCGTGAAGCCTTTGTCTAAACCAGAACCACTTCAGGCCTCTGCCACCCCAGTCCTGAACCAACAGATCCCACACAGTCTTTGCTGTCAGAAGCCACAAGAAAAGTCTGGACCTTGGCATCCCCAAGTTTACACCACTAACCAGCACTTATCAGGTAGCAGACGTGTTTAGGAACAAAAATTAAAGAAGATCCTGGGTTTAAATCCGTGAATTTTAAAGGAAGGACGACATCTCATTTTAAGAAATTGGACAGAGTCATTCCAACACAATTAAGTAGGTTGAGGGCCTGACTGTTTCCTTTGGGCTTGACTGTAGGTTCAACGCTTTCAGCCCAAGACAGCTGTAGAAAGCTGAGGCATGGCTGCATTACAAGCTTTTCCTCCTTAAAAGTCAGGTCTGTGATGCCACTTGGTCTCAGGTTAACAAAGGAAGCTGCCCTCCTTTTAAGAACAGTTTCATTCTTGGGCTGTCTGAAATAGGTTCCACCAGTTCAATCTAGAAATGATTAGCTGTTTACTCCTTACTGTAAAACCATGGCAGCTATCCTTGAGCCATTTTATCTTCTACAGGAAATTGTGAATCTCATAGGAAGAGCCAGGACATGAAGAAAAGGAAATTGGATCCACCTTAACCTGAGGCCCTGGATATCATTAGACTCTCAGAAATGGACTTTGGAAAACTGCTTTTTGGTCATGAAATTGTTCATCATTCCTGGGGAATGAATGTTATCTCCAATTCACTGTGAACCTCATCAGGACCCGTGAGACCGATTGCAGAGAAAGCCAAGCACTTTACATCCAGCTTGTCACACAGTGGTGAGGAGCTCAGACAAATGAAATAACTTTCCTTTGGCTCTTGAGGTTTTTCATTGTTTACTCCTAATCTATTATATTAATAAAAATAGACATTTTTAGGAATTGCCAATGACTGCCTGCCCTCAGACCATTCAGGTGTTCTTAGTCCTAAGCACCCTTCAACAGCTGCCTACGTTAAGCTGTTGAGCAGTCTCCTTTTGGGCCCCACAGTTCTAAGGCTGTCCACAGATCTTAGGCCAGGGATTTAGCTCAGTGGTTCTGCTGCCTGCCTCACAAAGTGCAAGGACCCGAGTTCAATCACCAGTACAAAAAACAAAAAAAAAAACAAAAGAAAAAGAACAAGGCTCTAGTGGTTCTTCTTACTACTCTGCAACTTTGTACAACAATCAAGGCTACAACCCCCATCTAATACAGCAGTCCCCCCTGCCACCGCCTCCCAGTCTATGGGCATATCCAAAATGGAGTGTTACTACCGAGTCTGCTCTGGGGCCATTTAGTAAGATAAAGTTTACCTGAACTGCAAAAAGTCGATCTGATAACTGGGAATGCTGCTAAAAGTTGACTGAGGGGCAGATGTTGTGTATCATGTGGATGTACTGAACAAGGCATGACTCATGACCTGGGCAGGATGGTGTCAATTTCATTACACTGAATGGAGTGCGAATTAAGGATGAATTATTTCTGGCAAAAACCTTGGAAAACTAAACATGGATTGGGAAGTACATCTCTCATTTATGAGTTTATGACATTACAATCTTGCATTCTTTCAAGGTTATTATTTTTTCCAAAGAAATAATGGTCTAAGATGAGTGAAAAGGCATTTTGAGAAAGCAAATTCTTATTAGCAAAATAAAATAGCCATTTTTATTTCAGATTATGACTTACCCTACCATAAACTGATTTCTCACAGTGTTTATGTTTCATAATTTTCAAATATGAGTTTGAAAATTTTCTCTTAAGTGCATTTTGGACTCTGTTGTGTCTAATGCTGAATTAGTGACATAACTTTCTGGATCACAGACCCATTGTGGGAAGCTGTGACCAGCATCCTTAAAGTACTGGAAGGTAGCCAACCTTTTGTTCTTTTGCGAGATGAAGCAGCAGCTTGCCCTGTTTCCCTGTCTTCTGAAAGCTTTAACCTTACCTACTGTGTTACACAGATTTGGTCACATATTCATCCTTTCATTTTGATATCCTTACCATTTTTCTCAGCAAAACTAATCAGCAGTAAAATCTTAAGTTCAGGTCAAAACTGCTGACAAAAATCTTCCTGGGGAAGAGGTGGTATACAGCTGTGTGGTAGAGCACTTACCTGGCCCTGGTTTAATTCCTAGCACCATTTAAAAAAAAAAATTCCTGGGGAATTAGGAATCCAGTTATGAACAGTGCACATCTCAAAACAAAGCAAATGAGAACTTGAAAAAAGCATTTGCTGGAAATGAAACCCCACAGCTCAACAAAAGCAAGTTTGGTTTATTTGAACGTTTCATTAAATAAGTCTACAAAGGTAAGAAACTGAAGCACAAAGCGCAGTCTTACAAGAAGCGCAACACCCAGAGTTAGTGCAAAATGTACAATTAACGGCTGCTGGGATACCCCCAAGATTTGACTTGTTTATTTTTTTTAAACAGTGTACATTGTTAAATAATGTAAGGAAAACATTTATAATTCAGAAAGTTCTTTTTAATGTGGAAAAGATACTCAAAATGTACTATTAACACAAAAATAATTTAAACAGTTCAGTAGCACTAGTTCGTTTCTCTAGGCTTCAGTTGTTTCATCCACAGGAGGGGGAAAAATCAACAGTAAACAAAACCAGTTCTTATTTTTGTGTATGAATGAAAAGACCTCTAAATTACTAAACCAAAGTAACAAAACAGTAACGTGGTATATTTGGTTCCCTCATTCCTCTGGTGGAAAGTACTGTTTCGTTCACCGCAGGTGATCTTTTCTAATTTACGTGGCACCCATCCATACTCATCCTTGCCATAAGAATGGTAAGCAGAGAATAAATCAGTCAACACTTTTGAAGCAGGGCTTAAAACCCCTGTCCTTTTCATTTCTACCTGCCGAAAATCTCCAGCATTCATTTGTGTCTCTAGGGCCTAGGCCAACTTAATGAAGAAAACAGGGACCATAAAGGAACGAATAGGATTCAGGTAGCCACCAGGTCTTCCTGTCATGGTGACACCTGCAGTGTGCCATTGAGGTGGGTTAAAGGCTGGAAATATTTCAGTTCACCAACTAAGAGTGAAGAGAAGCAGCACTCAAGAAATTAAGAGTTCTAGCTTCTTTGTCTTCTCAGAATAATGAATCCCAAACATGGCCAATTAGGACAGTATATCCAGAGAGCTCTGCAAGTTATAGAACTGCCTGTAGCACTAGGCATAGCATTAAATAATACTGGTTGGTCGCAGTTATTATTTAAGGGGAGGATGCATATGAAAATATGAGATTACTTAGAAATCTAGAAATAAGAGGTGGCACAATAGACTATGAACCTGCGACCACTTGGACATCACAGAGGAAACTGGTGGAATAAACCTTTCCCATAGTGCTTACTATTCAGAAGAGGGCCCACTTTGCACAGAATATAGCACCCCAGGCTTAGAAATGCATGGTGCATGTGCAATATAAGAAAGCAATTCAAACAGGTTTTCAGAGCAACTTTCTCCAGGTGACTCTTCACTGTTACATTGCCCAATTCAAAGCCAGCCTCTTGCCATTTCACTTCTTGGGCTCATCTGTTCAAGCCCAGCTCAAATCAGTATGACCAGAATCACTGGCCAGGCAGCATGCATTTTCAAGATAAATCTGTTCCCCCATTCTTTAGACCTTCTTTTTTGTTCGCTTAGCTAACACGTCCCTTCATCTTTTAACTTGTCCAATTTTGTTCTAACATCTTACCTCACTACTCCTGAAACAGAACCTTCTGCTTTCAACCACGGATGCCAACTCAACCTCTCACCTTACTCATTTTACACCTGCTCTGGACAAAACTGTTGAATGACTTAAAAAACAAACAAACAAACAAACAAAAACTTTCAATTTCCCTTTGGCATATCTACTGCTGGGGTCATATGGACCTAAGATTTCTTTCCACGCGCCTTTGCTGATCTGGAGTCTGATACGTCAATGCTAACGGCAGAAGCAATATAAGTCCAAGGCACTAAAATATCCAGCAAGCAATACTGGGAGAACAGAAGTATTCAAGTACAGTAATTATACAATTTTACATTCACATTTATTTATCTAATACAATGGAAGTACAAAGGAAAAAGTTAAAGTGTCTCAAGAGTAAAGGACAGAGCTAGCTTTTTTGTGTGTGAACTTTTTAAACCTTTCATATTTTACTCTTAAAACTACTGTTGTCCAACAACATTTATATATCACAGTGTTTCCACATCAAAACTGATGGCAAAGTTACATGTCCGCAGGGAACGTAATTTTTTTTTCCTAATTGCTAATGCTGCAGTCAAAGCTGCTAATATCTTTTGCTTAAAGCACTAATGACCTATCATAAGAAAGGGTTGCAACCCCAGTCCCCTGGTATTTTCCACTGGGTTTCTAAAGGTTGGGGGAACAAGGGAGGGCACAGAGTAGGAGAGAACCCCATTTTTTCATTTTATGGTCTGAATTTTTGAAGGGAGTAAGGGGATTTGGGTCACATATCACCCTTAAGACTCCACCGCATTGCAAATACAACAGATGAGGTTTGGCATTACACTGAACTCCCCTATACCTTCCTGATAACAAGATATTCTTTTATCCCTAGGCCTCAGTGGTGAATAAAGATAAATAGGAAAGCATGGTCTGAATCTGCCCCTCCATAGGAAAGTTTCTCTCTTGTTCTTATCCCACTCCAATAAGTGGAGGGGTAAGGAGAGTCTATCCTGAGGACTCAAGGCAGTATTAAAAACATTCCCTTCTGGCAAGAAATAACCAGTTAAATGCAGCACTAGTAGTTAGTATACAGGCTACTTCTCCATCCCCCCAGCCATTGGCATTCCATCTCTAGCTCCCAGATCTACTTAGTTAACATCTCTAGGTCTAAGTGGTCCGCAGGTTGGAACCCGGCGGGTTGCTGATGGATTTCTGCAAACTGCTGATGTTGAAATTCTGCAAGGAAGCAGTTCCTACGGGTTGGAACTGACCACCAAGTGGCTGTGGTGCTGGGCCACCTGTCCCGCTCCACTGAGTGCCAAATGTGGTAGCTGGAAAACCGTACTGCTGTGGGGGGCACATAGATTTGGTGAAGTGACCTAGAGAGGTAGCTGATGCTGCAGAGATGGGGGCAGAACCACCCAAGTTCGAGTTCATGGAGATGCACAGCTGCCCAGGTGCAGAGAACTTCCTTGCCATTCCAGGGCCCTGAGAACAAAACAACTATATTTAAAGTTTGGTGAGGGTATGAGACCCTTAGATGTAAAATGGTTGGTACTCAATACAATTCTAGAACTGAGAATTTTCTAATCTTATGGGGTATAGCAAAATGCAACAACACCTTCCATAATATTACTGGCTTTATACTTAATGTGGGGGTGAAAAGAACTATTCTGACTGGAAGGGGAAGGGAGCTATATATGTTTGTGTATACATGCAGTTCAGGACGTTGAAGGAAAAGAGAAGACAAACTCATCTAACCAATAAGAAGCTAAGGATTCAGGGAAGAAAAAGGTGATTTTTGTCATGCTTTTCCAAGTGTTAAAATTCCTGAGATACTTAGTAAAGGAGGTCATAGCATAAAATGGTGCAATAGCCTAGCAGCCTATGTAGTTTGTACTGTGATTCATTTGTGTTAAGTGATACTGACAAGAGTAGGAAAATGGCAAAAAAGGAAGACTTACCTCGTAATTCATGTGTCCTTTGCTTCCTCTCCTGCCTGAAAGATTCATGGCATCTCGGGCCCAGTTGTCCACCAGCTTGTGCAGATCATCTGTGAATGTGCCCTTCCTGCTGGATGTTATGGCAGGAGGTTGAGCTTGGGCAGCTTGGGTATTCACTGTTCCCCCGACAGTGTTTGTGCTGCTGGTCCCTGGAGGTATAAGCAGCGAGAATACTAGCATTAAAAGTAGCTTGGGTTATAATTCCAGGAAGAGGGAATCTGTCGCAGATAATGAATGGAAAGCCACAGAATTGGGGGGGGGGGTTGGGAAGCCATGCAAGAAAGGAAGATTCCAAGGGTTTTCTTTGGCCATTTGTTTTTTTAACAATAGAGTAATGAAAAGAAAGTTTCTCAGTAGCTGCAGATAAGGCTGAAAGATTTAGGATGGTAACAGGCATGAAGGCCAGGGGCCTCTTTCAAAGCACCTTTGGATTTGGGAACTTTCTGCCAGTGTGCTATTCCCAGCATCATGCTGATAGTGAGGGAGTATGATATGGTCAACACAGCTAGCTACTGTGAAAACTGGCAAGGTGCAAGGCAGGAGAAAGTATTTCTTGTGCACTGGGTAGGTTGAAATAGGAGTAGAAATGCAGAGATTGCTGCTTAGCTATGGAGAAGATGGGGCTCCCAAACCATGTGGATAAGTGCCACATTCTTAGCTGTTCTTCAACAGCATAACAACTAGCATGCTCTGTTCAAAAAGTTTTTAGACCCATAAACATAAATTTATAAATGTAAATTTAGAAGGAGCTAAGCCTTCAATTCCTCTCAATTTCCCATGAATAAAGAACCAAGATTAGGCAGGAGGAAGAGAAGTGCCTAGTGAAATCTTTCAACTCCAGGAAGACACAGTTTTCCTGAAGATGACCTTGGTTTCAACTGATTGAAGGATTCTCACCCCTTCTCCCGACTTCCTAAGAGCAAGCACTGCCATGTAGTAGCAACAGGAAAATTCAGCTGAGGCAGGGGTGCAGAGGGGAGAGGATGCTTTGAGGTTATGATGAAGGTATTCTATTTCTATGGTCTGATGAAGAAGGAAGGAAGAGTCTGTGTCCTGCCTGATTTCGGCTCTGCTGGAGGGCACACTGAAGGTTATTCGAAGAGGCAAGTTTTAGAGAAGAGGGAAAGAAAAGTCATGGTCTTATTTTTATTCTTGAAAGCTCCCTCCCACCAGACCTGACCTCACATTTGCTGAAGAATAAGTAAGAACTAGTCAAGTTAGCTGTGAGCCATGAGGCCTTACAATACCGAAGTAATGCTGGATCTGAATAAGTGCATGCATTTTCCTGGTTTCAAGGTCAAAGCAGCACACCAGAGAACAGCAACACAGCTGAAGCAGTCTTGCCACTTAAAGCCCTTTATAATCACTATTGGGTCAGTCATTTTTCTATTTTACCACTCAGGGAAAGGCACATACAAGCATATCTGTGCTGCAGTGATAGCTAACTTTGAGGTGAAGCTGCAGAGTGAGGAAGGTCACATGCTTCTTACCACCACAGCAAGACATGAAATTGCAGTGAGTGTCAGCTCACATTGTTACTGCACGGATGGTGCAAATGGGAGAGTGAATTCCCCTCTAGAACAGGAAATCCAAATAGAAAGTATAAAAGCACAGAGCACAGGAAACAGTCTTCCTCAGACAGCAAATAGGAGACAGAGGTAGAGTAGAATGCACAGACAGTGAGGATGGGCAGCCACAATGTTGGAGACCCAGAAAGCAGGGGCAGGCATGCAGGAGAGCAGCATCCCATGTGGAGGGGTGAGGGAACGATCACAACAGAGATGCCACAAGCAAATGGCTGTCCAACAGCAAACACAAGGGGCTGAGTGTGGTGGACACACCAATCTATAGAGCTCATGCAGGGTGGGGGGATGTCACACCTCTCTAGTCAGATGTGACTTGCTCTTCATACTGTAATGTCCCTTTTATAGCCAAATTCACTTTTCATTCTAACTGATATTACTCAAAACTGGATTATGAAAATAGGGTTTACCCCAGAAGGGCGAGTCAACCACACGGTTAACTTTTTTATTCTAGGTTCTGTAAATAGGTTTCCAGTTAATAAAAGGAAATATGACCCCTAGGAAAAGCAGGCTGGACTATAAAATAGACTTGACTAGATGGGAGGCCTGTAAAACATTCTAACCTGAGTCTTTCAGTTCTCTGAAAAGACTTAAAATATACTAGACTTACCTTTCCCTCAACTCCCAAATTCAGATTTTCTTCTGCCAAAATACATTTTCTTGACTCCCATATGCTGATAGATTCTAGTGA